GAAATGGAAACCCCTCGTTTCAGATAAGAAAAGCTAAATATGGAAGGAAAAGAAGATTTACCATCATTTAAAAGTTTAAAATTGTTGCTCAAACGTATAACCCAACATTCACTGGATCTACTGAAAATTCAAAGAAACCCTAAAATTGGATGTGAAACAAGTTTCCAGCCAAAACCAAACTGAGTTCTCAGCCAGCGACTTCACAGCACAGGAAGGCATTGGACGTTTTGTTGATGACTCAGCAATACCAGGACAAGACTAAGCTCAGTGACCGTGTCTGTCTAAAGATGGACTCTGTGGCTGCAGTGTAACAGATGACAGACAGCAACCTGAACAGGGAAGTACTCACAGGAAGAGAAAGAGGCCAATCAAATGGGAAACCAGAGCAGCTTTCCATGGATCTTTATCAGTAAGTATCCATTATAAACGCCGGGGGTGAAAATATTCAAACCGAACCGTCACATTACAGGCCTCATGTTGTGCTCTTCGGAGGTGTAAAGTAGATTTCACAGCAAAGCTCCAGGAGAGTGGGGATGAAGAAGTTTTCCACTCACCGGACGTCATTTTGCGGTGGAGGCTTCGTCTGTCGGACCAGGTTCACTGTCCTCGCTTGAATCGGCTTCTCCTCTCTGAAACACACAAATTTTAGAAAAATGGTTAGAGAGCCGATGTAAAATATGCAACATTTGGTAAAGAACCTAAGCTTTTAAAGGAAACAAATGTTTTCTTTAAAAAAAAATAAAAAAACATTCTAAGCACATGCAGGGTTCTTCTGATTGCCCATAACTGTCCAAGTTAAAACTTTTTGACACCTGAAAGCATTCTTCCTTTTCTATGACATCTTTTTACCTTCTGTTTAAGATCACACAAAATGCAATCTTGCCTCTTCTAAGTTTTCCAACAAAGTTCTTCTTGCCACTTTTTTAATCAGGGTTCGAATCATGTGTCACACCTTCATATGAATAAGCAAGTAAAGCTGACTCTCTTTGATCTTATCGCACAGCTCGGTCGCTTTCAGGTGTGGATGACAGGCCTCAGACAATAATCACATGATCTCAATATGTCCAGTGAGACATTCACAGCGTGTTTCAAAACTCCTTCATCAATAAACATGAACAGCACGCTCTGATTAGTCTGATCACAGAGCGAACTCAGGAGAGATTTCCCTGCCAATACCCACGCTGTCTAAAACAGAAGACGTGTCTTTTCATTGTCAGCACCGTGGGCACCCCACTCACTCGTTATGAAACAATCTGAGCAACTTTAGACGTAGCAAAGGCTCCTGTTCTGGGAGTTTATGTTGAGCTAATAAACTATTGTTTACAGGTCAGTTTCACTGGTTTGTTCATGAAAAAACACTCACATATGCCATACCATGTGCAATGCTAAGACACATATTTGATGCTTATGGAGTGACAGAAGAAGCAGCTTCACTGCAAAAACACAAAATCTTACCAAGTATTTTTGGTCTAGCGTATTGTGCAAATATCTTAGCACACTTGAAATGAAGCAAACTGACAAGTAATTTATCAGAAATAAATATCAGCTTGTTTCATATTTAAGCTAATCATTCCTTAGTATTGATGAAAAAAATGCAAGTTCCACTCACAGATTATTTCACTTATAACAAGGGAAAATTAAATAATCTTACATTAAAACTTGTAGTTTTACATCAGTAGGAATTATTGACTTAAAACAAGCTCATACATCTTGCTGAAAAGTTACTTGTAAGTTAGTTTTGGTACAGTTTCAAGTGGACTAAAAACATTGCACTAGGAGCTAAACAAAAATAATTGGTAAGATTTTGTGCTTTTAACAAAATGTGAGATAATGACGTTTCCAAACTACAGTTACCCAGGTAAACCATAAAAGTAGAGTTTGGTTTCAGTGTGAATGCCACCAGAGAAATCACTTCTCATCTACTTTCTCTGATTTCACAAGTATAAAGATTTCATAAATCTTAAAATCAGGCTAAAATATCTGTTTCGATCTGATTTTGAACTAGAGCAGTTCAAATCCAGTTTTATCAACTATACATATGATATGTAAAGCCATATTCTCAGGACAGAGATCGATGTAAAGTCGGCCATGTTGGAACACCAATCTGTTGTCATTCACTGCACTGACTGGTGTCCTAAAGAAGTATATTAAAAAAAGAGCAGTATTCGTGTTTGCGAGGCAACAATTGTTCCGTCACACAGTTACCTAAAAAAGAAGTAACAGTTCTTATTGAGACTTTTATTGTTGTCACAGTACTACCACAAAATATTGTGATAAAACTTTAGATGGTCCCCATCTAAAGCCCACCCTTACTGGCATCTAACCTATGCAAACAGGGAAAATGGGTTTGCCAGATTATGGTTTGATATATGGACAGACAGAAGGCCAAGCATGTTGTAATAACAGTTCTTTGAAAATGAAAGACATATAGGTTTTATCTTTCCCTCGTAAAAAACCCCGGTGAGAGACTGGAAGGCTTCAGAAAACCAGAGATCAATTCAGGAAACACCGTCACCATGAACTGAGCTGACAGTGAGGCCAGCTGTTCCATTTAAGATCATTTCTTCAGTTCCCTCCATCAACATAAAATTATGTTTTTCTCTCTCGAAAGCAAAGTGTGAGCATCGAGTCTGAACTCTGCCAGATGTGGCAGATTCAAGAACCTCACTAAACCAACCAGTCAGAATCAGCACTGGCCAGTGTATGCAAAAAGACAAACCATAGCATCGTCTTCAGGCTTATCTTTATCTAACTGCACTAGTTAGATATCTTTACCTAACTGCACTAGCCACAGAGATATTTTATGGAGAATGCACCAACTTATATCAGAGATCACACTGCTGTGATGTAGCCAAAGCCCTCCATAGTAAGCTAGCCCCAGATTTTATGTAATAAAAGCTGACCGAGTGTAGTGTAAACTCTGCCTCTCTGCATCACAGCCCACGCTACCGTACAGCTAGTGTATTTGGCATGCATGTATTAGCAAACCAGTGCACCTTTTCTGTTCACACATACATCACGATGATTCCCATCTAAAGAGTGGTGACAGCAAACAGTGGAGGCACTAATGTGGGTTAGGACATGACGGCCTGCCTTATTTTCAGCTGTTGCGCTATGACACGACTACATTTAATGTATCAGTTGCAGTGATGCAGAGCTACTTAGAGCGAGAGCTATGTATTGGACATTTCCTTCTTTAGATGCAATGAATCGATCTTCCGTTCCAGTGCTGGGCCATCAGTCCGTACAGTGGGCTTAAAATAGAACAGGGACGTAGAGCTGGAGGAGCGCCTCACTAAGGTGGGCCGTTCTAGCTTTCTATCTGCTCATCTGTGCATGCAGCTTGTATGCAGACTGTGCAGAAACACTGAGCTTCAAGTTGATGGATTTTCTAATCCTGGAGGAGATGGTGGTTTGGCTCCAACTCTGCACATCAACTGTAAACCCTCAGTCTTCCATACATGCATTTATTTTTTTTTTTTTTGTAGTGTAAAAAGAAAAGCAGATTCCACTGGTACCTTTTGAACTGCTGCTAAAGGCTGACTGCTTCTGTAACAGCCTGTGAGATGTCTATTGCAACAGCATTGGCCTACATACGGTGCATAAGGCTGGGAAAGGCTCAGCCGCACCCCAGAGCTGAGAACAGCAGCTGTTGAGATGGATGCTGCACAGACAAAACCCAGCAGAGGGAAGATTTTACTTTTACTGTTCTTCACTTATGCAGCATCTACGGCTGAGAAATATATCAGGTATTGCTCAGTTACTCGCTGCCTGACTCAGGCACAAACAAGTAGAAGTGCAGATTAGAAAATTTGCTCCTCTTTTGAAATCTGTGGAGTAGTTCCAGAGCGTCAGCCTCTGCTCCATTTCCCAGCAGTCACTGGGAGTACATAAGGACCTGATTTCATCCTTCTGCCCCATGCACGGTTCCTCCTGCGCAGAGCTCCAGCCTATAAGAGCCTGTGAGTCAGTGAGTTCTATGTGGAGTTTCCAGCAAGACGCACACACACTCACACACATGCGTGGAAAGATTCAGTGTGGAAGTCTTAATGAAACATTCAGTCCAGAGAGGAGATCTGAGGTGCTGGACTTCTCCAAAAATGACATTAACACACACACACGTACAAACAGATTCTTTTCCTCTTTTCCCTCTCTTACTTTAACATGGCCTCATCCTTGGCTTCCTCCTCCCGCTGCCGAGCCAGCACAGACATGATGATGTCCCTCTCCTCCGCCGTCAGATGGCTGAGGTCCGGCTCCGGGATGGCCGGAGCGGCGGGTGGGCGCGGGCCGCCCCGAGGGCCCACCGAGGCGAACATCTTCTCTACCACCACCACCTTTCTTCACTCCCGGCTCCTCTTCCTTCTCCTCCTTCCTCTCCTCCCTCCTGTCGGATCACGGATGAAAAGCCCGCTGGCGGAGCCCACGGATCACGACATGGGCCACTGATGGAGCGGCGGTCGGAGCGGCTGATGCGAAGTTCCCATGGCGGTGGCGGGGGCGCCCGGGGTGGTGTTAGCTGCGGTGACTGTGGCCTTAGCGCTTCGGTTCCCGTTGCCGTTTTCAGCCTCTCCTCCCTCTTGCTGCTCCGCTGTCTTCTCCCCCCACCCCCTCCCACCGCCCACCCGCCCGCCTCTCCCCTCCACCACCTCCGTTTTACGGTGAGCCCATATCTCCGGCGGTCAGTCGGGACGCTGGCGCACGGGAAAGAGGACCTCGTTTCCGTCCTTGTGGCCAGGCAGAGGGGGAGGAGGGCTCCCTGAAGACGGCTCACTCCGGTCGGCGCGCTCGCCTGGCTCCTGTGGCTGAGGGGCAAGGCGGTAACTTCTTGTTTTCCAGCTCCGCCGCCGCCGCCGCTGCTGCTGCTGCTGCTGATGCTGATGCTGCTGTCAGGGAGACGGAACCGTCAATGGGACCGCAGCCCCTCAAGCGCGCTCACTTGCCGTGCCGCGGGAGCGAGCAGCCCTCATTTGAGAATGGGGGCTCCACCACTCGCCGTCAGGATGCGCGCTCTCGGCGGTCCTTAGCGCGCAAACACACACACACACACACACACACACACACACACACACACACACACACACACACACAGGAAATACGTGGTTCCTCAAAGATGCACTGTGGCTTTACGAGACCACATGATGACGATCATATCTTAAATAACATAAGTTAGTATTATTGTTTCTAATATTAAGCAATATATAGGCCTACCTATTTTAAAAAAATCAGCTTTTTGCCACGATTTCAGATTAAATTTCTTAAATAAGCATTGCTGTTATTTACTAAGCAAAGGCAAAGAAAAACCGAAAAGCAGCAGAAAAATACAGTTAAGTCATATTCAATGAAACTGAATATTGAAAAAGTTAATTTAGATCTTTCAGGATCAGGATAATACAATAACAAATTTTGCTGGACGATTAATTGTCCCAGAAATTATTGCGGTAAACGATATTATTGATGTTTTGAGACCATCTTCAAAGATTATGCATGGTGATGGCATAATAATTCAAGAACATATTCTCAAAGATCAATAAACTTCAAATTCTGTTGAAGATTTGACGCTGGGACTGGAAAACGTTTTAAATATCCAAAATAGCAAATAGAAAAATAAACAAAACAATACAATACATTTAACATTAAAATATGACATCAGACCAGCAGCTAACATTTTTTATGCGTAAATAGGGATTTACTGTCATTTGAAAGGACGTCATTTTCAAGACATTTTTAATCTGATATATAAGCCTCTTTGGACTACATATTCTACTTTGAACTTATTTCAATTTTGTTTATATTTTATTTATTTATGATTTTTAAAACGTTGCAACCATAAAACTTTGTGTATGTTATTTTAAAAAAAAACTTAATATCATACCAACACAAAGTGGTTGCAACGTTTGATCTGATTCATTTATCTCTCATCCACTCTGACCAATTTTCCTGCATTTGCAGAAGAAGCATTTTCCCAAAGCATGATGCTGCCACTACATTTTTTTTTACAATGTGCACCAGGTGATTCGTTAGACTATCATCACACAAAGTGTTTTGCCTCTGAGCTAAAAAAAATATAAAATAATGATAATAATGATGATGATAATTTAGTTTTATTTGACAAAAGACACTTTCCAATTCCTCAATGCTTGGCTTAAGCTGCAATGACAAATTTCCATCTGAATAAACCATAAAAGATGAGACTGTCAGAAAGATATTTGGCTATGATAAGTTGTTTTCGTTTGGAGGAAACAAAAACAAGTTTGTTAAATGATAGAAAGTGTTGTATGTTATAACTGATAAAGGTGATTCAGCAAGCTAACTAAGCAAAGATAAGAAGTTATAAACTGTGACAGGGTAGCCTACTTTAGAAAAATAGTACATTTAAGTAGAAATTTTCACCTCATAGAAATGTATAAATCTATAAATTGTATAATATTTTCTTTCTTGTTTCATAATCCACTGGAAAATGATTCTGGAGAGAGCCTGAGGTTTCCTATAGGCTATTACCACAGCTATATGACATTTACAGTATGTCACTGAGCAATATTATAATTATAGCCCATGATGGGACTGCTCAGTGGTTAGCAGCGGTCAAGTGAGCGTAAACTAAAACATGTAGGCATGCAGATGCTTCCACAAACAAAGATCTGGAGGCTGAATTTATCAGCAAGAGATTTTAGAATCACATCTGGGGCCAATACTTTAAATACTGGCCCCATTACTTATATTGTAAATTTGATGAGCTTGCTTTCAAGAGTCTTTGAGCTACTGCTAAAATTACTGGTCATATGATAGGGCAATTCTGAAATCTGCCTAATTCAGCACCATGGTCAGCTCACTGTGCAGCCGAGAGGATCCTCCAAAATCCAGCTTTCTAACTGCAATTGTAAGACTAATGTCATGAACATTAAACAAATAAACAATAGCCTACTGGGAAATTTCTAACTTTTTGCACAAGAATACCTTTTTCTATTTTACAAACAAATATACTTGTACCGACATTTAATTCGTTAGCTTTAATTAAATTAAGGCAAATATTCAGAGAAAACCACAAAGTGATAGATTTTCTAAATATAGACATTGAAGATGCCAATGAAAGGCCGACCGGAAATAATATATTTTAATTTGTTGATTTGTTCTTGGCAGGTTTGGCTCTGAAGCCAACATAGATATGCTTGGAAATCGGATTTTATTCTATTTTACGTACATCCAAACCACAAAATCTACTCAAGCTTCAGAAATATATCAACAAAACGCTGTTTACCTGTTTCAATTCAATGGACTTTCTCAAAATCACGTCTATTCTTCACGTCGTTAAGCTAATTCTGTCAGTTAACAAAATAAAAGCTGCGTCAGACGCAAATGGCTTTTATTTTGAAAAGCTCGTTGTGGAGTTCCGGATGTGCTGTGGCTAGTTGCTAGCTTTCCTTCTGGTCACGCGAATATTCTGGTAAGGAAAAATATATACTATTCCGTTTGTGTTAGTGATATTTAAAGGTTGTGTTGACGTAGATGTGAACATTTGGTGAGTGACAGTTACTGCGTCGCTCTTCCTGCATTCAGAGAGCTAATATGGAATTAGGTCAGTCTTTAGCGAAAGGTTTCATTGGAGACAGCAGTGTAATGTAAGCTTTGCACTGCCTGCTGTTTTCCCCCCCAGTGTCCTTCTCTCTCTGTTTTATTTTTTATCTATTCATTTTTATTTTTTTCACATGGTGACTGTGTTCTCAATTTTCAAATGTGCGCCAGTGTGGTTTTCTTGCAGTTTGTTGAATGGAAAGGCTTGTTTTACCACTCTAAAAACATTTCTTCATCTTTGAAATTTACTAGTCTGTACAGATGCATCTCTCTTTATTGACGTTTAAAAAAAGCATTTCAAAGAGGAAAATTAATATATGTATAAGTATGGAGGACTGACCCTGCCGAAATTAGCAACAAAAAAAGGTAAAAATAAAATAAATTACTTGATAATGTAATTAATGTGCTCAATAGTGTATAAAAATAATTTTTATACACATTTTATGTGATTATACAATAACCGTGTGATTATACCGTAGAAATTCAGAGCTAGCTTCTCTACTATTAGCCAAGATAAAGATCAAATCTCTGTTAGGAGGAATGGGCCAAAATTGCAGCTAACTATTGTGAGAGAGAAAAAAAACAACAACAAAAAAACACTCAAAACGTTTAGCCCAAGCCATTCAGTTCAAAGTCGGTGCTACCTAAAGTTAATTGTATGTAAATATCTAATTTTGAAGACATTAATAGATATTCTTTTTGTCATTATTGTGGCATTTAGCTATGACAATAATTTTGCTAATTCTGACTGATCTAAAACAAGGGCAATTTGCACTGATTCAGCTTTAGAGAGTGAGAAAAAAAGGAGTACATGCGTGTTTTATTCAGTGTAAATCTGAGTAACACATTTGAGATTTGCGATGTATATTTTCAGGGTTCTGCCATGTTGCCAGTCGTGGTGGTCCATGGGGGGGCAGGTCACATCCCCAAAGAGCGCTCAGACCTGTCCACCTCAGGAGTGTGCTCTGCAGCAAGGTCAGCGTATGCACTCCTGCAGGGAGGGGGCAGCAGTATGGATGCTGTGGTGGAGGCTGTTATGTTACTGGAGAATAATCCATCTTTCAATGCAGGTATTGTAAAAATGAGATGGCCACCTAAAATTAGCTCCTGCTATGCAGGATTTATATATATATATATATATATATATATATATATATATATATATATATATATATATATATATATATATATATACACACGAGAAACTGGAGAGGGCCTGGAAGGTGAAGACCACAGTGGTGCCTGTGGTCATCGGGGCCCTCGGGGCAGTAACCCCCAAACTGGAGCAGTGGCTACAACAGATCCCAGGAACAACATCAGACATCTCAGTCCAGAAATGTGCAGTCCTTGGCACAGCCAAGATACTGCACAGGACCCTCAAGCTCCCAGGCCTCTGGTAGAGGACCCGAGCTCAGAGGATAAGAACCACCCGCGATGGGTGAGAAGGGAATTATTATATATGCAGCAAAAAGCTGTGCAGTTTCAGCTTTGGATATTGTGGTGAGAATTCTCACTGATCTGATGATTGCTGTTTTTCCAGCATGAAGGGATGCCATCTGACAAGCTTAAAGTGGTAAAGAAATGCCTTCAAGAACAAAAAAACTAGCTAAAATTTCAAACTGTAGAAGCCTAAAAAAAAAAAAAAAAAAAGGAAAATTGTGTTCTGTCCTAAACTTGTGAAGTTTTCCCCAAGATTCAGCCACAAACTCAGTCATTTCTCATATATTTTTAAAGGATGTGGCTCAGTGCTGAATGTGAAGGGGGAGGTGGAGATGGATGCCCTTGTGATGGACGGGAAAATGCTGAGCAGTGGCGCCGTGTCAGCCGTCCGCAACATAGCTAACCCAATCCAGCTGGCCAGACTTGTCATGGACAAGGTGATATCGTCTGGAAGCTTTTGTTTATTTTAAATAAACATTATAAAATTCCTCAAAGTGATTCTGCAACTCATTTTGAAAAGAAAAACAAAGAAGGTAGCAGTATAGTTACAGAACTGTCCTAAATGTGTACAGAAAACATTGATTTTAAATGTATCACCAATGCGACCTTTGATCCCTCCTTCAGACCAGCCATGCCTGTCTAACAGCGGAGGGTGCCAATCAGTTTGCTCGCTCGATGGGCATTCCCGAGGTTCCTCAAGAAACCCTCATCACAGAGTATTCCCGCATGCGCTGGAAAATAAACCTGGTCCCAGATGCCAACCCTGTGGAGTGCCAAATGTAAAACTAAACACTAAGTAACTTCTTCTGGATTTCATTAAAGATTCACTGCAAAAGCACAAAATCTTACCAAATAGTTTTGGTCTCGTTTCTAGTTCAAATATCTTAGTGCACCTGAAATAAGACAAAACTAACTTAAAAGTACATTTTTAGCAAGATATAGAGGCTTGTTTTAAATAAACAATTTCTTAACTTTAATGAAGAAGTACTTGTTATATTGACAGATTATTTTTGCTTGTTACAAGACATTTTCTCTTGTTAATAAATTAATTTATTTGCCAATGGAACAAGTATTTTTTTCATCAACATTAAGGAAGTATATACAAACAAGTCTCTATTTTTTGCTGGCGCCAAAAGTGATTTTTGCATTTTTTGGTTGTAAATAACCCAAAAAATTGGTTGTTCTTTGGAACCATTCACACATTTCTTATGTTTTTAATAACAGTAGAAATGTGAGACATATAACCCAAGTTTGTATGGGTTCCAATTACACAGAAACATGATTTAAACATTTAGATCAGAAACAAATAACCTAACAATTTAAGTGATTTTCTTTCCTAAGACATTTTTTCTGGAAGAGGTGGCAAAAAGTCTTGTGTGCTTTTCTTTAAGGAATGTTGTTTTTCACCACATTTTTTAGCCCCTTCCTAACCTGTGCTTGTAGCATGTCATGACAAATTAGGATAATCAGAAACATCTGCTGCTCTTAATCTTTGTCATTATGACAATGATGATCAATAAATAGCAGCAGTAATACAGAAGTTGGAGCAGATTGTACTCCATGAAAAAAGTCTCTTTACACTTCATTTTAAGAATCTGAACTAAAAAAAGACAAAATGTTGCTTAAATTATATATAGGAAGATTTTGTCCATATTTGATGTTAATCTAAATAAATCTCTGCTGACCTGTTTCCTCGTTTAGGGGGAAGATGGGGACGGTTGGAGCGGTGGCAGTCGACACAGACGGCAACGTAGCATGTGCGACTTCCACCGGAGGAATGCTGAACAAGATGGAAGGCCGAGTGGGCGACACCCCGTGCATTGGTCAGTCGTCACACCTGCAGCTGATGATGAGGTGACCCGGTTTTGGCCAAGCTTCAGCTGTGAGGCAGATGCACAAACATTCAACTCCAGAATACTTTGAGGAGTTCATGGTTCGCTTCATTACTGCAGAGTTCTGTAGATACAAAACCTCATATCACTGGCCTTGCATTCACACACCCTTAGAGGTTATGAAGTACGGATGGATGATAGTTGGCATTTAGAGAGAGAACGCTCAGCAATAATCTTTTGTTCTTGCTCTTGTAAAACAATAAATGAAGTCAGCTCAGAAGTTTTTATGGCTGAGTGCTCCTCTTTCTCAAGACTGTTAGTCTTTAACCAGCAGATCTGGACTGTTGCTCTATAGGATTGCTTTGTAAACAAAGCAGAGTCACAGTTCACCATGTTAAAAACATGTTCTGTAACCTCTCACTTGTAGAAAAAGTCTTGTGCGCTTTTATCTAAAAGCACACAATGAACAATTCTGTTGTTAATTTCCTCAACAGAATTACATATTACACTTTTCATTATGTTAGAAGCAAACAGCTCCAACAGTTTAATAGACTTTAGAAAAAACAAAGAGTAAATATGAGCCTTAAATATGCATCCATGTTTTTGTGATGTATGTTTCAGGCAGTGGAGGCTATGCTGATAATATGTCAGGAGCCGTGTCGACTACGGGCCACGGAGAGGCCATCATGAAGGTCACACTGGCGAGACACATCCTGTTCCACATGGAGCAAGGTAACACTCACATCCACACTGTTCAAATAAATCAGTTCCGAATGGATGAACTGGGATTTGTGCACGGTAAAAAACGCAGCAATTAATCAATCTATATTAAGAGACTTCATGTCTATAGTTAGATTAAAAAACACAAACATGCAAACTGAAACAAGAAATATAAAAACATATTTAAAATATAAAAGCATAAAATTAAACATGCTTTAAAGGATAGAAATACCAACATCTACAAACATCTGTGTGGCTCTTCTTCCTCTTAGCATACAATGATTCTCATCACATGCAACATGCAACTTCTTCATGCTGTTACTTGCAAGACCCCCAGAGGGGGGCAGTATGAAGCAGTGTGCAATAGACTATAAAGCTGCAGAATGTAACTTTCATAAAAATGTTTTTCTACATATTTGTTAAAATTGTCACTATGTTTTGACAGTATGAGACAAAATGTGAGAACATTTTCCCAGAACAACCAATCAGATACAAGATCAGGGTCCTAGTGCTGTCAATAACCCTTGTGTATATGCTGTTAAGAGGAAGCCTAAAACAAAAACCAGTCTAGAAAAAACTAAGTGTTTGTTAAGCTCTGACTGGTGGAAGTGAACCACAGGATTGTTTTACGTAACGCTCTGTTCTGTCTGCCCAGGCCAGTCAGCTGAGGCTGCCAGTGATCTTGGTCTGGCCCACATGAAGTCCAGAGTCGGGGGACTTGGCGGGGTTGTGACCGTGGACCCACAGGGCAATTGGGCCGCTCGCTTTTCCAGCCGCCAAATGGCGTGGGCCGCGGTGCAGAAAGATACGCTACACTACGGTCTGTACACGGGAGAACACTTCACCCAAATCCTCAAGGACGCTCACTGACACCAGGCCCAGTTTGTGTCAGTAGAGCTATAAAGTTTAGTCACAAAAACCAATGAACAGTGCACATATCTGAGCCGATCCAAAGAAAAGCGAGAAATTTCAAGAAACTCTAATGACACTGTGATTCTTTGTAACAATCATTTGAAAAGTCATTGCAGAGAGAAACTAGAGCAAAATGATCAAATTCACATCGCTGTTCAGTTTTTAAGCTTCTGAGGAAACCCTTCAGGTTTTACTATATTTGTTAATTTTTTACAAACTACTGGCCAGTTTTATGACCACTGAACACATAAAATGATTTGCACAAAGTGTGTTTTTCTGTCATTGTTGTACTGATGAAGTGCTGCTCATCATTTGCTGAATGTTGGTGAAGAAAAATCAAACCGAAAAGGTATTTATGGCAATGTGAGTGATATTTTTATCTTAATTTAGATGATTATAGTTTATCACAACTGAGTTTCTCAAGGTGAAGCATTAAAAAGAGTCAAGAAAACCATTTTTGTCAGATTGCTGGTGGTACATCTCACCAACAGACAAGTTTTTCTTCTTGGGCTTTTGATTTACTGCAAGCCACAATAATCCAAATTAATAGACATAAACACCTGAAATATCTTGCACTGTCTGTAATTAACCTTTACTATTGGTAAATTTCACTTTTTGAACTTAATCACTCAAATAAATTAGTTTTTTGTGATATTCTGATTTATTGAGAAGCTATTATAAGCCAGCATATTTTAACTCAATCTGTTATGAACACCATTTATGTATTATTTGGATGAGTAGTGTTAACCTGTCTGATCCACTAGGGGGTGATGTTTCCTCATGCTGACAAAATGCAAAACTTGAAATTTCCTTTTTTTAACTGAACTACTTCCAGGCTTACATTGTGGAATTTTAATTTTTTTAGATGTTTATAGAGTACTTTATAATATATACTTTAATTGTGCAATACCAGTCTTAATGTATTTTGAATCATTTTTAATGATAATTGTTATGATCTGTTTGATTTGATAAAGAATGCCGCATTCATATGTTGATTAATTCCTTGTGTTCAATAAAAACAATGGAGCTCATGACTCAAATCACATTTTTTTGCTTTATTGGTGCTTTTCATGTGGTTGTTGTGAACATGTCTTTGCAAAAAAAACCAACTTAGTTGAACACAAAATCCATTATAGCAACTTTTATAATTCATATGTATTAAGGGCTTTGTTCACGCCGCCAACATATTATTAGCACAGGTGAAGCTATGAAAAAGTTCCTCAGAAATCTTTCCTTTCATATAATTATAATTGAAGATAAGAAAGAAGAGTCTCAACCTTTAGACTTGAATATTTCCAAGTTTTCTTCTAGAAAATGTGAAAATTTCTAAACTTGTTTTTTCTCACTAAATTTCTACTACTTGGCTTAGAAATCTTTTGTATTTTTGTCTATGAAATGTTTGAAGTTACTCTGGAAATTAGATTTTTTTTCTTAGAAATTTTCTAAAAAAAAAGATTTTAAAAAATCATAAAATTTGTGAGATTGATCTAAAAACTTCTGAGTTTTTTGGCTTAAATTTGCTGAATTCTTTGTTAGCAAAATTCTCGAGAATGTATTACATGAATTAGCAACATCCTTCAGCCAAAGGAATCTCCACAGTCGATGCAATACTGACTGCTACTGGCAGAGTTGGACAGTAAATAGTTACATTTACTCAATTACATTTACTTGAGCATGTTTTTGGTTTTTTTAAGAAATTTACTTGAAAGAAACTGATTTGGAAAAAAAAAATATTTTGTTTGAGTTTATTTTTTTGTTACTTACATAAATTATTGTCTTCTGTCCTTAAAATACCAAAATTTTCATTTAACTTTATGTTTCTGTCTGTCTGGTTATGTAATTTTTAGATATTAAATGATTGATATTTGATCAGTTACTCAGTACTTAATGTCCCTTTGGCGTAAGAAAATATTTTTTTATTCAATTGCAGTACAACAAAATAACCTGAAATACAAGCAATTGCTGGCAGGAATATTGCAGGAAAATTCTCTAATTGAACAAGAAATTCAGCTTCAGTGAGAAAAGCTTCAAGACATTCAAGAGAGACCTGCATCAGAGTTTTGTTGACACCTGTACAGACCTTGACACACAGAAAACAATCCAGAAGAGACTGAAACACAGAATCATTCTGATTTTTATCCAAATCTGTAGAGAAAAGAGTCAGCATAAGTCTTATTTGGAGCCAATAATGGACTTCCTGATGTAATGGATTTATGTGTTTTCTGTCTTTAGTTTGAAAAATCTCCAGTCAGTCCAGAGTGGGATCATGTTGCAGTATATGGTATTTAGTGAGGGCAGACAGTAAATAATAAACCTAAGTATTTAATTAATTTACACTGGCTTCACAGGAAACAGCTGATTATATCGTTAGTGTGCACATTGTGTAGGTCACCTGTCTGAACTCTGTTTTGAGTTGTAACTCTCCACTTGTTTCCCACATCCTGATGTGCTTGGAGTGTAAACATTTTCAGGTGTTTTATCTAGGCGTGGATCCTGACAGTGATGGATAGCTGCTTAAGTTTGGACTCTAAACACAGCAGCAATGTGGGTGATGGAAAATACCAGGCAGCCAAAATGAGTCCTCTCATTTAAGGCGGAAATCAGCTGCACTGTATTTCACAGTCAACTCTTTTTAGGTCATAATATTTTTGGAAAACATTCAGTTTTTGTCAACTTAGCTCCACATTTCCTTATATTATCAATATCACTGTACCATAATTGTTGTCATTTGGATGTTTTGTATTCTTTATTTGAGAATTTTTTGTAACTTTTAATCTTTGCAAATGACCCAATAAATGATGCTAAAATGAAGTTAAGTAGGTTTTGACAAGTTATTATATTCAGGCTACTGAAACTTTTTCAAATTTCTAGTAGATTTCAGTTGTAATTCTTACTCTCATGCATGTGTGTCAAACTCAAGGTCCAGGGGCCAAATCTGACCGCCTCAGCTCTTCGTGTGGTCCTCTGGGCTCGGGTGCAACGCATAAACAGAACCGTCAAGACAATAGTTATGTGCTTGTATATTATCTCATCAATCAAATCAAAGTAGTTTTACGTCTATACGCCCAAATTACATAAATCAGTTTTTCATGACTCTATGTTTGTGAAAATTCACACAAAATCAACAAATTGACGCTTTTTTTGCACAGGAATGCATAAGTGTGATGCAAATTTGGGGGAAAAATTTAGTTTGACTTTATTGAACGTTGTGTAATAAAAGAAGAAACAAAATTTAAAACAAAGCAAATAAGAAAAAAAATTGCCAAAAACATTTGGTTTAAAGGATTATAACTCTCCCCTGAAGGTGGCAGTATTTCTTACTACTACTGCACTGCTGTCTCAGTCTTGCTTCATATTAAGGTAGTTGATAAATCTAAAGTCACTATTAGCGCAAATGTCGCAAAGTTCCTTGTAAATATTTCTAAATTAGAAAAAAAAAACACAACAATAATTGGGAAATCCTGGAGGCAATGCTGAAAATCTTGGATTTTCAATATCATTTCATTTTAAGAAGTGCCATAACTTACTTTTACAGAAATGTATTAATATTTTAACAGTTTCTTAATGGGGTTTTATCAATATATTCTGGCATAACTGGCCCGTGAGAACATTTATGATCTTGATATGGCGTCCCTGCTTTAAGGATCCATTGAATCTTTCTGACATTCACTATGAAACTAAAGAAGTGTCTTTTTATAACTAACTGTGCGCATAAAATGAGCCAAGCTCCTGATCAGTGTAAGCTGATCGGTGCAGAGTGGAAAGGCAGCTGACCTCCCAACAGTCAGCAGAGTGAAGGACGAACTGATGGAGGCTCCAAGGTGACATCATCTGCTCCGTATTCCTTCCTCTGGACCCGATCCGGATCATTTGTTTATTTATTTGTTTATTTTTTTGTGTGTGTGTGTCTGAAATTGTTGCATGAAAAGCACAATTTGCATACGAATAAGAAGCGTCTGGCCTGTGGGTTGAGTGGACGTGTGTGACCCATTGCAGACTCTTTCACGGGGAAAAAGTCATTATTCTTTTCATTTGACGTCACAGTGGAGTCGCATGCGTGTGCTTGGCGCGCGGGTGTTTTATCCTTTGGGTCCCCAAGGTGAGAATCCAAGGTGCTCCAAGTCAGACGCATCACAACTAAGCGGTCCCGGAAGTACAGCGTCTCCTTTCAAAGTAAAAGTTAAACTACCGCCAGTTAAAGGAAAAAAAAAAAAACAAACAAACAAAAAAAAAAAGTTAAAGATTTATAAACTCATGTTTTTTCTATATGTATTAAACGTCACCTCTGTTTCTAATCACTTCTAGATTTAACTTTGGATGAGGTGTTTCGTCATCTGCCAGACGCGTCTGGGAAGCTGTTGTTGCGTAAAAGTAACTTTACGGATTCGGAGAGGAAATAAAAAGGGGCTGGACTCTGTCCAGCTTTCTCCTACAAAAACCTCGACAGCTGACAGAGAGCAGAACCGTGCAGGACAGGAGACCCGTTGCTGCGCTGAATACAAGAACAACTAGAAGAGGTAACATATATTTATTTTATCAACAACTTTATTGTCTCTTTCTTTATCCCGCTGCTGCACAGAGATCTGCTGTGTGAGATTGTCACCTGACCCTCAGCAGATCTCTTTACATTTATGTCACAGTTTGGTTAAAGAAAGAAAAAAAGAAAGCAGAAGTAAAAGGTGTTGCTTAAAGGTTTAAATCCACCCAGAAACTCAAACATGTGCAGAACTGAACTGAATAAGTTATTTTATTCACCTTCAATGCCAACTTTTCTAGGGAAAAGAAGGTTTATGCATGTTTGCATTCGTCATAGAACAAATGCGTTAAATTATAAATAAAACTTTGCGGGTTTGTGGAGACAGATCGGTTAGGAGGAACAGAGAAAAATGAGAGAAGACCTAAAACTGAACGAGAACCCTCAGGAAATAAAGAGTTCACAAACTACCACACTGACAGATTGTTTTTGTCTGTTTTGTATCATAAAAATGAAAAACTGACAAAAATCGTACATGTTTGCCGTTTTCTTTTGATGGGTTGCAAGTCAAATCAAATGTTTTTATTTCAGAGTTAAACATCCATTTCTTTATAATGAGATCATCTGAAATCCTGTAAAAAAGCATAAATCTCAATCTGTGAAAAGTTTGTGGCACAAAATCGTTGCAAAAAAATGTTTATCTTCAAGTTGGAATAATGGTTTGATGTCACAAAAATAGCTGCATGTTTGGCTAATAGATTAATTTTGCATAGTAGTAAAAATTGTTGAGCTTATAGTTGGAATAATGACCTGAAAGTTTCCATAAGGTCAGATTTTCTAGTAAATAGAGATTTCTCACCAACAATAGTAACACACAAACACTTTCTGGAATTAAAAAAAGTCAAATTAATAAGATGATTTCAAAATAACAAAATCAGGCCAATTTTTTTGACAAAATAAATATTTTGATTCCAATACCTATGTTTTAACATTGCAAAGTATATGTACTGCTTATTACGTAATCATTTGACCTCCAAATGTCTCAGCAGAAACAAATCATCAGAATAATGAAGCTCATGTACAAACAAAAACTCTCACTTTAACACAAACTCTGAATCCATGTCTAAATTGTTTTTTTATTAAAACATTTTTGTTTTTCTTTCAGTGAAGTAAGTAGAGGAGGCAGCATAGTGATACTTCAAAACAATTTAATCAAATGAAATTAATAAGTACGGTGCAGTAAAACTACTCCTTAAAGTAGATTTTCCCAATATTACTACAAGATGACTTCAGTTATTGAGAAAATTTAAAAAACTTCTCAATAACTGCAGTAAAAATTGTTTTATCAAGGTTTTATGGTGACTTACAACATTTAATTGTTCACACACATAGTGTTGAAGCACCATGTGGTACATGTTGCTGTGATAAACAGCAGAAATATGACCAATGTGGCTTGAATTGTCCCTTAGGGATAAACAAAATGATTTGAACTGAACGTATTACTAGCAGTTTGGTGTTTGTAGTGCAGCATTGAAATCAAAATATCTTCTGAACCCAGTT